TATAACCAACACTTGTAACCTGAAAAAATTAACACGTAACCAACACTTGTGACCTGAAAAAATTAACACGTAATCAACACTTGTGACCTGAAAAAATTAACAGGGAATCAACACTTGTGACCTGAAAAAATGAACACGTAACCAACACTTGTGACCTGAAAAAATTAACAGGGAACCAACATTTGTGACCTGAAAAAGTTAACACGTTTGAAATTGTAATTATTTACATTAGTACTGCCACTATCATGTTAAAATACTTTTAAATATTACTGGCTATCTTTGTAAATGGAAACAGTCAGGTTATAAGGACGACTACCAACTAAGCCTGAAGTGACTCGAACATTCGGTTTTCCCCTGTAGTCAGACTATTTCAACCCACTAAGTCATCTGGTGTTTAAAAACTTTCACACAAACTCTGTTACGTACTTCCTTTAAATCGTTCTTCCCGCTCTCTGCACTCAGTGTTTCTTTAACTTTATTCTTAATTTTCTTTCCACTTCCTGTCTGTTCTTCTTTATTTCCTGGAAGTTCGAGTCCTTCTTCCTCCCACACTGAATGAATGAAGAGAGTGGATAGATATAATGGTTGGTTTTGTGGGCTTCTCAGCCGAACTTGCCGGTACCCTAAACACGAGATACAGCAGACTTCAATACCAATAACATTTGATATTTCTATAAAAAATTATAAATAATAAATACACAACGTCGATGAGATTTAATCAACACGCATGCGCTGTGACATTAATAGAACTTCGGAACTTATCTCTACAAAAGAAATAGATAGTTTCTTTTATTTGTGAAGGATTTTGGATCTGATGCTGAATCCTTAGCGGGGGAAAAAAAGGCTTAATAAAACCCCCATTAATTAATCTTAAATTGTATTTACACTAACTTTGTAATTACCCTAATAACGTTTTATTATACAATAAACATTTTTAAAAGGACTGTAAATCTGTTACGGGTTTAGTCGGTGTGTTATTTTCACACGATTTTCTTTCCTTGTTTACCTTATTTGTTAACAGAGACAGTTATTTCCATCAAACTCTGTATATTCTGTTCAAGTCAGATAACACGTGGGGCATGAAACAAAGTAAATCTTTATTATTAATAAAGTTAAGCCTAACGTTTAGGAAAGGCGTAGAGGGTAATATGTTGATTTTCGTAGTAAAGTTAAACCAAAAGTCAAGCCTAATGTTCAGGAAAGGCTTAGTGGGTAATTTGTTGCTTTTAGAAGTCAGCCCTAATATCCAGGAAAGACATAGTAGGTAATTACTGTTTTTAAAAGTCAAGCCTAATGTTCAGGAAAGGCTTAGTGGGTAATTTGTTGCTTTTAGAAGTCAGCCCTAATATCCAGGAAAGACATAGTAGGTAATTACTGTTTTTGAAGTGGGTAATTTGTTGCTTTTAGAAGTCAGCCCTAATATCCAGGAAAGACATAGTAGGTAATTACTGTTTTTAAAAGTCAAGCCTAATGTTCAGGAAAGGTGCAAAGAGTAATTAGTTGCTTTCAGAACACAAGCCTAATGTTCAGGATAGGCGTAGTGGGTAATTTGTTGTTTTTAGAAGTCAGCCCTAATGTTCAGGAAAGATGCGGAGGGTAATTAGTTACTTTAATAAGTCAAGTCCAGGAAAGACGTAGTGGTGTCATTAGATGCTATTGGTAAAGCTCGGGAAGAGTTTGAAAGGTAATTACTTCTTATAACAAACTATTTCAAGCTTATTCAAAGTAAATAAATATAAGGAAATGATAAATTATTTTTCAAAGTATTGTATTATAATGACGTTTTAAAATCTTCATTTCATTTCTTTGTGTCCTTTTTATTTTTGCATATTTTCCAGGAAAGCACGATTAACATCTATTACGGATACAATGTTATTGAACTTATATCAAAGTGAGTGATAAAACCAATCTATCGTTTGTAACTGTCAATGGTAAAGAAGAAGAATTGGTGTTTGAAAATTACAATCCAACGGCAACAAGAGCGAGGGTGTTATGATTATTAGAACTGAGTTGATAAACACTTGCCTTGTTTCAAACACTTGAGAGGTATGACCCTCTGAGCGGTCACGTGGCTCGTTCCTACATCAATCACAGAAAACCTTAAAAATGCCAGTTCACTGAAGGTGACCTGCAAGTAACCCAATCAAGTTCTGATTTCAATTATCCTATTGGATAATTCCTTAAATAATCAAATTCCTAACAACCAACAAGTTTAATATAGAGGACAAATAATCGTTTAACAAACAGAGGACAGTCATGCAGAGAACATCAATCTTTTCTTGGCTAACTTATCCACTTTTGTATTAAATCTTTAGTGGGTTTACCCTTTTATATTTGGCTCTTTTTTCTTATCACGTTAAATGTGGGACACAACTGGAAACTAAAGAACCATCTGATACATCTGTTAACCGTGGGACACAACTGGAAACTAAAGAACCATCTGATACATCTGTTAACTGTGAGACACAACTGGAAACTAGAGAACCATCTGATACATCTGTTAATCATGGGACACAACTGGAAACTAGAGAACCATCTGATACATCTGTTAACTGTGGGACAAAACTGGAAACTAGAGAACCACCTGATACATCTGTTAACTGTGGGACACAACTGGAAGCTAGCGAACCACCTGATACATCTGTTAACTGTGGGACACAACTGGAAAGTAGAGAACCATCTGTGTCAAAATAATGACTTATCTTCTTAATATCATATATAGTAGTATTTAATAAGTAGGTTGAATAATAAGGGTGTTGAGCTAAGGATTTTTCTATAGTAGGTGTCTGTGACTTAATGGTGATAAATTCAAAAATAAACAAACGGCATGCACTCCACTTGTTTTCAATATAATATATATATATGTTCGAACTAGTTAAACGTATGTACAACAAATTCTTTACACTATAGATATTATAGGTATATCATAGACACTATATATATAGTTCTCTTCTTCTTGTCAAAAGTCCACTTAGGCCTATTCAATTACTTTAGAATTTCAGTTGACAAGCCAAACTACCTTTCTCTATTTCTATCGCACTACTATTCCGCTTCACAATTATAGCGTGAGATACCACAGTCGTTACTGCTCTTCCAGTAATCGTCTGGTCCTCGTACTTCAGATATCGTCTGTTCCTTTTGTCAAAGTGCACTCAGACTGGTTCAGTTACTTTAGAACTCGCTTGGTTTGTTTTGTTTTTATGTTAAGCACAAAGCTACACAATGGGCTATCTGTGCTCTGCCCACCACGGGTATCGAAACCCGGTTTCTAGCGTTGTAAGTCCGCAGACATACCGCTGTGCCACTGGGGGGCAAGAACTCGCTTGGACGGAATAAACTATACGTCTTATCTCTTTTAAAACTGTCAGTTTTACTCTAACATATTAATTGTTAGGCCTATATTAACAGTTAGGCCTTTCACTCCTACGACAGTTAACTTTAGGTTTAACTTTCCTTGGCCGAACTTCTACTTCCCGTAACTTCTGCTCTGTCTGTCTGCTGTTCCCGCTCGTTTCACACTACCTATATATTTATCATTTAATCGTCTACTCGCCTTCTAGAAATCTCTATATCAATAAATTTCACGCGACGTTCGATAGCCTCAACATCAATGAATTATAAACACAACTTCCAATAATCGTCTGCTTTTATTATAAAAAAAAAACACACTGAATAATAATAAAATATTAACTCACAAAGTAATTAATTAATGCTATCTACGCTAAACAGACTTTTAGATCACGACAACCTGATACATCTGTTATAAAACATTATCTGATTATAGAATCACTCGCCTTAAAATGAAATATATCATTCCATATCGGGTTAAGAGAATTTCTCTGTACAAGTTTTGTTTTCTGTCTACTCGCATCAACTGGAATCCCAATGACTTCCACTTCTACTTGAGGACTTCCTGTGTAAGTGCTTGGACAAACGTACTGGCCTGAAATAACCTGCGAAGGAAAAAAAAAAACGTTTTTTCCTTTGTCAGGAAATCTGCCTTTTGAAGCGTTCTGAACACGAAAACTGTCTTCAAATACATCATAGTATGACGGAAAACATCAATGAGGTTTTTCATTTGTAGCAATGCCTTAAAGGTAAATGTTATTGAGTGGTGTATGATAAACAATACTCACAGTGATAATGAGTTTGATAAACAATACTAACAGTGATATTGAGGTTGATAAACAATATTCACAGTGATATTGAGGTTGATAAACATTACTCACAGTGATATTGAGGTTGATAAACAATACTCCCAGTGATATTGAGGTTGATAAACAATATTCACAATGATATTGAGGTTGATAAACAATACTTACAGTGATATTGAGGTTGATAAACAATACTTACAGTGATATTGAGGTTGATAAACAATACTCACAGTGATATTGAGGTTGATAAACAATACTCACAGTGATATTGAGGTTGATAAACAATACTCACAGTGATATTGAGGTTGATAAACAATACTTACAGTGATATTGAGGTTGATAAACAATACTCACAGTGATAATGAGGTTGATAAACAATACTCACAGTGATATTGAGGTTGATAAACAATACTTACAGTGATATTGAGGTTGATAAACAATACTTACAGTGATAATGAGGTTGATAAACAATACTTACAGTGATAATGAGGTTGATAAACAATACTCACAGTGATATTGAGGTTGATAAACAATACAGTGATAATGAGGTTGATAAACAATACTCCCAGTGATATTGAGGTTGATAAACAATACTCACAGTGATATTGAGGTTGATAAACAATACTCACAGTGATATTGAGGTTGTTAAATAATACTCACAGTGATAATGAGGTTGATAAACAATACTCACAGTGATATTGAGGTTGATAAACAATACTCACAGTGATATTGAGGTTGATAAACAATACTCACAGTGATAATGAGGTTGATAAACAATACTCCCAGTGATATTGAGGTTGATAAACAATACTCACAGTGATATTGAGGTTGATAACGTGAAGTCCGTCAAACTCTTTATCCCAAGGATTGAACCTTCCGTACATCATGTGACCCCGGTCCCACATGACTGATGGCTTCAGTACGTAACCACAACGGCCATTTTGTTCAAACATGGCGGTGTTCACGTGCAATGCTGAATCTGTGTCGGAAAAAAAAAGGTAGTCAACAACTGCCTTATAAAAAAATTTCGATGATTTTACGCGAATTAAAAGACTTAGCTTTATTTCATTATGGGATGTTTGTATATTTAAACTAATTAATTCGTTTTTCAATGAAAAGCTTACGTAATTTCTAGGCTTAGTATTACAAAACATCTGTCACATAAAAGAAATCAGCCCTTTTATGGGTATTCCTGACAGATGAAAGTAAATTACAATAAAACCATAATAATTTCCCATATCATAAAACAGAACAAATTATTCATAACAATGATTTGAAGTTCTCTGCACTTTAGGTTGAATGCAACCATTTCTGGTCCAAAAAACTTACCTTCAGTCTGGTAATTGAGTGCAACCATTTGTAGTCCAAAGGCCCAGAAGATAACAGGATTAAAGTTGGAAGAGTCGATTCTCATGGCAGCGGGGTATGTTCTCATCAGCTGATTTTCACAGTGAGTGGAGCGATAGTTAAGAATCATTGAAAATTTTGATGGATCTTACTATAACCCTCGGCATAGCGTTATTTCTACTCAAACACATTAAAATTAGAACCTTCGATATAATATTAGTTCTACTCAAACACATTAAAATTAGAACCTTCGATATAATATTAGTTCTACTCAAACACTTTAAAAATAGAACCTTCGATATAATATTAGTTCTACTAACACACTTTAAAATTAGAACCTTCGATATAATATTAGTTCTACTCAAACACATTAAAACTAAAACCTTCGATATAATATTAGTTCTACTCAAACACTTTAAAACTAAAACCTTCGATATAATATTAGTTCTACTAACACACTTTAAAATTAGAACCTTCGATATAATATTAGTTCTCCTAACACTTTAAAATTAGAACCTTCGATATAATATTAGTTCTACTCAAACACTTTAAAATTAGAACCTTCAATATAATATTAGTTCTACTCAAACACATTAAAATTAGAACCTTCGATATGATATTAGTTCTACTCAAACACTTTAAAATTAGAACCTTCGATATAATATTAGTTCTACTCAAACACTTTAATATTAGAACCTTCGATATAATATTAGTTCTACTCAAACACTTTAATATTAGAACCTTCGATATAATATTAGTTCTACTCAAACACTTTAAAATTAGAACCCTTGATATAATATTAGTCCTACTAACACACATTAAAGTTAGATTCATTAGTACAGTGTCAGTTTTACTAATACACATTAAAGTTAGATTCATTAGTATAGTGTCAGTTGTAATGTCAGTTCTAATACACATTAAAGCTGTAAACCTCGGTATAATGTCAGTTCTATTAATCTACAGCTGAATCAGTGTCTCTAAAGAGACAATTATGATCACTAAAATAGGACTTGTCAGAAACAAGTCTAGACTTGAAACAACGATCACGATAGGATATGCAATCAAAGCCAATGGATGCCTCTTGCAAAGCCGCTTGGCCGTGTTCTCGTTTAAGGACGACACCTGGTAGCAGGAGGCACTTACATTCGGCCTTCTTGCTGAAGAGTCACTCTTGGTTTCTGCGAAATGATAACTAATAAGACTGAGCTCCAAGAAAAAGAAAAAAAACAGGAATTTTTATATAAAAACTATGGACATTTCATTTCGGATAGTAATAATATCGGTTTCGTTTGTCTCGGTTATTTGCGACAAATTACATAAGGGTTTTCTGCATTAACTGCCCACAATTTTCCACAGATAGCCTAGAGAGGTTGTTGTTGTTGTTTGTTGAATTTAATACAAAGCTGCTCGAAGACTATCTGATAGAGTAGAGAGAAGGCAGCTGATCAACATCACCCTCCTCAAACTCGTGGGCTATTCTAATCAAATAATTTTACCGTCACTCCTATAACGCACACAAGACCTCAAATTCCGAAATATTATTAATTTTTTTCTTAAAGTAACGAGTCAAGAACCATGGATCCACAGTCCAGTACACTTGGCTCAGTCTAAAGGGAAGACAATGCATCTATTTTACACATCGCCCAATCTTGGGCTACTCTAATTGAATAATGGGATTTAACTACCTCTATTATAGGTTATAACGCACTCACGACTCCAGAGCGTGAAGATGATTACAACGGGTCATGAGTCATGGACTTTCGGATCTTCAGGCTGGCCTGGCCCTAAGAGTAATCTAATTGCTTTATTATTTTACTTCAGATGTTTATCAAGAATAAAATCAAATGCTACCAAAAGAAATAAAGCAGTTTAAGGTACCTAAAAGTAACGTGCTCAAATATGAATTTCCACAAACCTGTCTGGAGTGGTGGTGTGCTCGGAACAGGAGTACTACTGGTTGCCAGAACGTTCTTTTTACTAGTCATTTTTCGCATCCTGACAGATCCCGTTGGACTAGCAGCTCCTACGAAACCTACAGTTATTAAAAAAAACAGTATTCATTTAACATAATCACAGCATCCAACAGCAATGGCTTTCAATGTTACTAAACGTCTGTAATGTTATGGAACATTATATAGTCCCCATTAACGTTACTCTGAGCTACACTAGTGTTTCTCAGACTGTTAAACAGAAACAGATACACAGTTCCATTACTTTGTGCTTAAAATGTTTATAGTGATAATTTTGTTGAGCATTAACCTGAACCCATATTGTTTATAAAATGGGTTTTTTCATTCACGAACTTATTAATGATAAAATTTACTAATTCTCTTTCATTTGATACAAATATAGATTCAGTTATATAACACTGGATGTTGAAAACTTCATATGTCAACTGAGACTGTTTGTTATAACACAGCCAGTCTGTTAACCTCTGGTATATAAAGAATGGACTGATTCTCACAGACCGTGTTTCAACTAAGGCCGGGTTGTAACACAGCCAGTCTGATAACCTCTGGTATATAAAGAATGGACTGATTCTCACAGACCATGTTTCAACTAAGGCCGGGTTGTAACACAGCCAGTCTGATAACCTCTGGTATATAAAGAATGGACTGATTCTCACTGACCATGTTTCAACTAAGGCTGGGTTGTAACACAGCCAGTCTGATAACTTCTGGTATATAAAGAATGGACTGTTTCTCACAGACCGTGTTTCAACTAAGGCTGGGTTGTAACACAGCCAGTCTGATAACTTCTGGTATATAAAGAATGGACTGTTTCTCACAGACCGTGTTTCAACTAAGGCTGGGTTGTAACACAGCCAGTCTGATAACTTCTGGTAT